GATAAAAACTACTCCATTCGTCGACTGATGTCTTCAAGCTGCAACAAAAATAACAAACATTCAATAACAAGTCTTTTCAGGCAGGTAAGAAAAAAATAACTATTGCTATTAAAAACTTAAGATTTCTTAACATTTAATAATGGTACCAACATGGTCCGTCCTGTGCAGAATAACAAAACGCAAAATTATTTCTTTACTTAAACCTCTGTAACGTTGCTCCAGTTCATTTTAGCAGCATGAATCTTTGCACAGGTGATGTCCATAAGTGGGTTTATGGTTTCCAAGAGTTTTAAACCTGATTCATTATGGTTTTAAATGGGCTATATATTGTCTAATGCAATAATTTTTCAGACGGAAGGGGAAAAATTGTGTGTGTGTGTGTGTGTATATATATGTATATATATATTCCATCCTCAATATCTCTAAAACAAGAGCAGCTGTTTTAATACTCATACTTCTAATAAAATCTCCCAAGTGTTAGCTTTATTTTGAGACCAAGATTATTTAAGTAGAGTTTGTAAATGCTGAGATACACTCAATTATATTTCAGCATGGTGTTTTGAGCAAAAACATCAAGGAAACCTTTTGGGGCTTAAGAGATTAAGATGCTGAAGTTCAGGAAAAGTGTTGCGAGCATTGTGATGAAAGAAAAGAGAGTGAGGAAAGTAAGGTTTATAACATCATAGTCACTAATGCATGTTTTCCTGCTACGCAGCCCTGTTGTTGTGTTCTTATGCTGCCATCTGACGTTCGTGCTTTTTGTTTTTTAGAATACATATTCCTGATTACTCAAGAGCTGCAACTCGATCCACTGGTTGGGTACCATGCGATTGAACTTCTGCAAAAGTGAGCTTTAAGCAGCACACCCTGCTTCCTGTCCCTGGCACGTTTTATGTACCGTTTGTCTCGTCAAGCCCTTTACGTCTCTCCTAGGTTCATGGAGAAACACATTTCGGATTTGCTCGCCACCGCAGGTGCACCTGCCGATGAGCTGACGAGCGATGAGGGCAGTTTTTTTGACAAACTAAAAGAGGAATTTCCTCTCGTCCTCCTCTCCTGTGTGCAGCTGGCGAGCAAACTGTTTCTGCACGGTCACGTAGGTTTTGCAACGTCAGTTGTTGATAAATGTCTGCTGTTTGAAATAATTGATCTTTGGTGGTTCCTTGTTTAATAGATGATTGACAGCAACGCCGCCGTACGCTTCCTGCAGTCGATCGGTGTCACCGTTTCCAAACAGACGGTCCTAGAATTTGAGCTGATGGTCTTCAAATGCCTTGAGTTCAGTCTAAACGTTCTCAACCCTTTGACATACGTGGAAATGCTTCTGGAGGTGCTTGGTAAGAGGATTTAAAGCAGAGATTCTTAATCTATGGGCCGGGGGTCCACGAGCGCCACCTTGAGGGCCTCAAAAGAAGAACAGTTGTTAACTTTGGGCCGCAGAGGGCCGTGGGACTGCATTGATTTTGAATAAGGTGCAATACACTTTGTCACCACTAGTAGCGGTAGTGCGCCACTCAGATGTTTAACAACTTTTTTAATACATAYAAGAAGAATCTTAGAAACCTGCCGAGAATGGAAACTTATTTTAAAAGAAAAGTAGAAGGCAAAATGAAGGCAACCCGTTAAAAAAATACCAAAATTTGTCACTATTATGAAGCGCAGCTTCTGGTTCTACCATGCAATATTTTAAAAGTTCAAAACATTATCAAATACATAACAGATACAGCTATATTTTAATTTGCACTTTATGAAATTAGTTTTTTTTTAGTTTTTTTTTAAAACATTTTGAATGTATTTTAAAAAAACTTTAAACCTGTCAAAAAGCTGTTGTTACTGTTATTGTTTGTCACTAATATGAAGAGCA